ATACTATCCTGTAATTTGAATACTACCATGCAATATGAATACTACCCTGTTATGTGAATAGTATCATGCAATATGAATACTACCAAGTAATATGAATATCACCTTATAAAATGAATAAAACCCTACATTATGAATACTGCCCTGTAATATGAATATCACCTTATAATAGCAATATTACCCTGTAATATGAATACTACCAAGTAATATGAATATCACCTTATAAAATGAATAGAACCCTATAATATGAATACTACTCTGTAATATGAATACTACCAAGTAATATGAATACTACCCTGTAATATGAATATTACCCTGTAATATGAATACTACCAAGTAATATGAATACAACCCTATAATATGAATACTACTCTGTAATATGAATACTACCTTGTAATAATAATACTGTCCTGTAATAGCAATACTGTCCAGTAATACGAATACCACCTTGGTACATGAATACCATTCTGTAATAAGAATACCACCCTGTAATATGAATATAAACCTTATACAATGCGATACTATGTCGAGGTCTGGTGACATGTAACTGGTTAAAAATCTTGACTGACAAAGAACTTTACAGCCATGTTTGATGACAGCTAAACAATGAAACAAACAGGACATTGGCACTAGAGTTTTGTTGTGGATATTAGGTTTGTATTTTAAGTTTAGCCTGTTTCACCCTTATGGGTGTTTGATAACGGCTGGGGTCAAACAGTTTGTTCAAGTATAGATCTGTATTGTCCTACTGTCCAGGAAATGGCAACAAGAATGTGACCAAGCCACAGTTTCTGCTGTCTCATTGTCACATAGTTTACCATAATTTGTCCACACATTTATCGTTTTAGGATTCAGCCTGGTCCAGGACTCGTCTCGGGTGTCACAGAATGTCTCATGACAAGTCCCATGACAATACCATGACTGCATTTCAGTCACCCACCATCACCCACGTGGGCGATTGATTCGGCTTTTCTCCTCTCGCCGTGGACCTCTCAGACCAATTAATTCACTCTGGTGACCAAGATCCTCTTGTTCTACAAGGTGATTTCAGCCCGGATGTCGTATTTTGAAACCTTGTCATGTATATATTACTCAAAAGAAGCTAGAGAACACCGACTCTGTCCTATTACTCCAGGACTGTCATGCCACCACAGAATAATTATAGTAATATCTAAGATGGTGTTTGCCTATTTATTGTGTATAGTTATTTTCTCTCAAATTATTATTCTGCCAACTGTGTTAAACTAGACCAATATTTAACAATTTAACAGCCATGTATCACTTGCTATTTTATGGTGGACATGTGGAAGATATTTCGATATCAGACTCATCACTGACACAAAGAATGTAAAATGCAAATCCCTATTTCTTTGTACAGATATATTCTTGTATAATAAAGTCGGAATCAGATTTTGACACTTACATTTGCAGAATATCTTGGGTATCCTCAGTAGTTGAATATTACCTTGCAACCATCACAATAAAATTATTAGCTGAATAACGTCTTTGTGAATAAAAGTCACTAAACTATGAGAAATCATGGCACGGTTCCGACTATGTTATAAACATGTGTCAATGAATCACAATAAGATATTCACGATACCAGGTGAACACATCTTGCACAACCGGTGGCACCGATCACAAACACACGCAAAGACAAGTCTTGCTTTCGCCTCAAAAATATATTGTACACGTCACAACTGGGGAAGGAACATTTCAATTACCACCACATACGATACAACGTACATAGATATAACCCCCATTCAAACACATGTATATACAGAACTATGTAGAAGATAAGAGGCAGACTCCTGTGCAAAACACAATAATCATAACAGAATCATCACTACGGTAATCGGGTAAAACAACTATATCGATAACAGTCCTTCTGCAAATCACAGCTGACGCCCTGTCAAAATTCAACATAAATTGCTTTTTAAATAAAACTAACCAATGAGGAGAAACCAAAGCTGAAGGGGTTGCGTTTTGTGGACGTTGGATCTAATTCCATGAAGTTGATGCCAGAAGAACCGAAGGCTTACTGAAATAGTAAAATTAAACGATCAATATACCCACGGCTTACAGCCATTTCAGCATGCGTGAGTATTTTTATGGAATCACCTCTGTGTCAAAATAGCAACATAAATGATATTAAGTTTCGCCTTCTCAACTCAATCACAAGAAAATCAGTCAATTGGTTATGCACCCAAGTTTGGACAGAGGGCTGATGGCAAATCTGTATCTAACGTGCTTGGCTTGTGTTGTAGCTTAATAAGCCACTCGTCATAGAGCGTTAATTATATCATCTCGCAGACTATAGTCACACAAAGCGCTTTGATAAGCTTCACAATCGCAGGGTCAACAATCCCAGCCTTTGACAAGAGTTCAGCAATCTTGATTAAAAAGTCGCCGCACATGAGAACGAATCCTTTTAAGTCTTCTACTCGGGCTGAAAGTTTCTCTGCCGAGTCCACGGGACATTGAAATCAATTACATTGGCCAGCAATTGAAGGAAAAAAATGTTCCGAATCAATTGCCAAGGAATCCGAAAAAGTATATCTCCGTGATTGGGTAAACAATGGCGACCATCTCGTAGCGCCGAAACTACATTAGACCCATTGGACTTGCACGCGAGGGCCTTTCGTGTTGCTCGAAGGTAATGTTCCTTCGTTATTATAGGGTCTTCCTGGAAAATGAAATTCGATTTTAATATCTGCGAAATCGTGTAAAATGAAGTGAATGGGATTTAGATTAGGATTTCCTTGTTTACAATTCGTCAAATTGCCACCGCTTATTTAATTATAGGTAATTCTGGCGCCTTCGTTTGCGCATTAAGGCTTCAGGAGCTGGGTTAACCGGCTACTTCAGTCGGCTGCATTCTCTAGTGATGACTTGGCAGCAACTTAACCCTCGGGGTCAATGGAGGCAGGAATTATGGCGGTGGAGGTCACCTACCAACTTGTGCCCTGGTTCATGAACTTCTCTGAACTTTTTGTCATTAAAAGAAACTTGAAATCATATGACAAGAGGTCTGTTTGTTTGAGCCTTACTTTGAAAGAAAAGTGTTAAAGAAGGTGACATACCTCCTCTGTCATTAAAGAATTGCTCCAGCCATCGGATGCACAAAGCGTTCTTAGCGGTATGAACAAGTACCGTACTTGTGCAATTGATTGTGTTATGTGTAGGAGAAAGTATGACTTTGAATGTTCAACCGATGCTGACGTTATAGAACCTAGTTGAAACCTTGGTTTAACAATTGTGACGCCATTATGCAATCTGGATATGAAACGCATGTGGGGATTGAGCAACGATCTGTCAATAGAAGCCCTGGCTGTGGGGTTTTTTCACATTGTACAAAGCATGGCTGTGTCGAACCAGAAATGTGACTTCTGACATACATACAAACATATATGCTGCATATCCCACGTCAGTCAAAGCTGCAAACTTACTCACAGTAGGTCCAGGTTTGTTTGTTGATAAAACGCCGCGCTATTTGACAAACCAGTGATTGTCATCACAAGCAACGACCTACACAACTGGGATACGATGACACGCATAAACCGAATCAGCGAGCCTAACCATCCGATACACTTAGTTGCCTCTTACGAAACCTAAAGGCATAGGATACTGAAGATTGAAGACGGGATTGATCTATCCAGTATAGTGTGTATTTATTTAAATCGGTTTTGCGACACCCGGTGTCATTGTTGTTTTTGTTTTTGTTTATATGACATTTAACGACTTACTCAGCAATAGTCTCACCATGACGACAGCCTGTAAACAGGCATTAATAGCTGTTATGAACAACTGCGGGATACGATGATATGCAATCAATAATGTGACCGAGCTTGACCACCCGGTACATTCAGTCACCCCTAGTGACAAGCATATGTTACTGGGGGCAAACTCGAACCGGAATCATAAGTTTACGCGGTATTGGAATGCCTTTATGAATTTATCTTTGTTCTATACGATGTCTCTCCTATGTCACAGGTACATTGTGGATATACAATTCCTACTTTAATTTGCATAAACATTCTCTTAAGACCCTGAATATGTTTGTTTCAGGGCCACAATGACGCGCTTTGTGCTGGAGTGTGTCCAGGATCCCCCCCTCCCTCCCTAAACCCAACTCACTCCACCCCACCCTGATCCAGTATTATGGTTGGGTGGGCCAGGTGTATCAGTACATGGAGGTTCGGGGTTAGGGTAACATTAATACACTGATTTGGGCTGACTTGACGTTATCAGAGAGACTGTTTGTGTTCATTCCGCAAAAACATTAAAGTAATGTATTCCATTTTCAGCAAAAGCCCATAAATTGCTATTAAGCTTTCTAAACAGGCTATTATTGTAGTGAAGTTCGTTATAAATCAACGTACATATTCATTAACAAAAGATTGAGACGTCCATGATTGCAAACAACCACAATTAAACATTGTTTTTATATCAATGTGAATACTGTCAAATACACTAGTAAGGTCGTCAACAGTCTCAGTCACTACAAAACCGCTGTGAAATTGGAGTGAAATGAATCCGTCATAATTCAAATCCAATATACGTTAATATTTCTGCACTTCAAACAGTGTGTCAGTACCATATTCCAAACTCTCTTCAAAGTATGATAGTCATTTGGAAGTATCCACGACTCTCTAACTCCTTTACTCTCAAGACATTTCTGTACATCGCCATCTGCGGTTAGTTTTGACATTCTGAAATAATTATAACATTTCACAAGATTACCCGATATATTCTTCGTTAATTGATGCGTTGTGTTCAGCACACAAAGCTACGATTTAATAGCTCTCATCTTTAATATCTTCTTTGCTGACGGCGTATAACTTGCATTCTGTTAGACTGGTTGTCTCTCTCAAACGGCATCACAGCGGCTCCTGGCTAGTTAGTTCATACCATTACATCCTGATTGGGCAGAAACACTTCATCAATATCCTACAATTACGGCCACGCCGTCTAAGCCAGTTTTACTGCTATCAATCATACCCTGGCCAATTCCAACACATCTTGTTTTATTGGCGATACCTTGATAATCGCATACGCCTAATATTTGCCTGATTTGAGAAGAGATAAGGGGAAGCTGTGGCACTAGTTCTCTCAGCTACTTAATCATCAATATTGAAGAATCGTTGAGCCGAGAAATTTAACCAATGGCTGTATTGAAAGGGTTCCGACAATTGGCGATTACATTGAATGACACAGTGTTCAATATTCGCGATCAGGAGGGGCGGATACTTCTGCCGTTTTATCTGTCCAGAGTCGTTCTTGTTTTCACACTGTGGGATAAAATATGTGGCTCTGCTCCGTCTGAGTGAGTTGTGTTTCGCGTGTGACGGACAATCGCGGTGTCGTCTGCTCGAGCGGATGCCGTCTGTTCCTTGACGTTGATAGACCAGACGATGAAGTGCGGAGCCCATCAAACTCTGATGACCAGTCTGCACGAGCACGGACCTTTGGACAACAGGACTTTTGCCTCTGTATCCACTTCAGCTTCTTTTTTCATGGAACCCAGAAAGAAGACTGCTTTTTCTATCCGTGATTTGTTGGGTCTGAGACAAAACCAGGACCGAACACCGAATTCCGGGTCTCCCAACGAGCTGAGCCTAACGCACAAGTCAAGCCACCTACCCGACCCCCGGGCGTCTCTGTTCTCCTTGGGGGCACCCCCATCACGACAGGCCCATCACGGGGGCTATCCCTACCCACCATGGGGCTCTCCCCTCATTGACTCTCTGACCACTTCTGGACAAACTATCCTCAACTTTAACATTTTCCAGGCTGCGAATAACAGAGAGTATGGTAAAACAGGTAAGTAGAGTTTGTCGATTTTCGTCGACTACTGTAAAATAATGTTTAACAGTTTCTGTTTGAAAAATGCTTCTGGAAATATTTTAAATAACTTTTCAAACTTCTTTGTGGTAAATATGATATTTACAATTAATTGCCAACACAATATGAGAGGTTTCAGGTTTGATTTGAGAACTATTTCGTTGGATTTCAGATGTGGATGACAGAAAGTCATTGCCTCAACAATCGACATTTGAGGCACTACACCTTTCTCAGCCTTCTGGTAAAAAGAAGAAGAAGAAGAGGCGACACAGGTAGTTTTACAAGCAATCGTTTATCATAATTCAAATCTACATCGCTTAAGTTCAATCCGTTGATTTGAACTATATCAATCAGAAATTGATATATTGTTAAGAATCGAACATTACAAAATTTATATTAAATTAATATTTAACACTTAATATTAAAAAATATAATTGAAGTTGTTACATTATGACATCAATTCGCTCCTTGTTACTTTGCATGATAGGTAAATTCTAAACGGGCAATTTCATCGAACCAATACGATGTACATAATTCTTGTCACATGCCCCTCCCTCTCTCACAAAAAATGCAATGATGCATTTTCTTTTCTCATTTCTCTTTAGCAGTGGTTTGAAAGTTTCACCGAAAAACCTATTTAATTAAAAGACACTGCAACTCGGTTCACATTAAACGTGTGATTAGTTCAAACTAATCAAACCAAATTGTGTTAGCGTTATAGAAAACGATTAATTCCCTGTAACCTTCATTGCTGTCTATAGTTAATTCATTAATCTTGTTAATTTTTTTAGCCATGATCTACGAAAGATTGCCAATTACTCAGTGGACATCTTTTACGTGTAGTCAGCTTGTAATAACGAACAATGCCTCGCTGCTAATATCACCATTCAATAACCTTTGTTCACACGCGTGTATCCAGCAATCATTAAACAAAGTGTAATATCGATCAAAAATCGATTCCAGCTGGTCCGTCGTTCCCTCCGACTGATTGGAGTTGTGTGTTTAGATTACATGGTACAGACCTGTTTTGCATATGGTTTCAAATGATTAATTTCATTGATACCTTTAATTCACTCTGTTTGAGAATGTTTGATTAAAATAACGGTAATATGCAGTCACACTCATAAATATTAACAGGTTTCTGTTGATAATGCTTTCACATTTATTATCGGATCAAATATGTAAAAGTTCTATTTGGGATGTTTTAGAAGTTATTTTGTTTATGAATATTGAACACATTATTGATCGAAAACATTGAATATATCGTCTTTGTTTCTTTAGTAATTACACATTATATATTTCATAAATATTATATTCTAAGGATTATGAGAATAATTATTTTTTAAATAATGAACTATTTTGTACACTCGCTAATGGGTACTATTCTCGAAATTTTATCAGATAAACATAAATATATGAAACGAATATCAAGATGAAAAACCGACATACTATTCTGAAACAAAATCTTAACAAAATAATATTATTTCAACCGATTTAAACCTGTATCTATCATTGAAGACTAAATAAATATTTCATATGAGAGACATTGATAATATTTCTGAAATCTCGTATTATAGAGTTAACTCAAGGGTCAATTAAAATGTGATATTATCATACTAAACTTCAAATCTTGAAAGTATATGACTGTATATATGTGACTCCCAAAACGTTCTTCATGACGAGCGACTAACTATTAATGTTTTTGGACTGTCACGGGTAAATATGTTTTTAGATGAGCCCGTAATACCTATTTACTCAGGGATTCGTTCGTAGTTTATCTCGTGGTTACCGCATATTATTTTACCACACATATTTACCTAAACGTGTGATTAGATCCATTCATACTTGTGAGCAATGTTTAACACCGGACTGAATGAATGGGAAACCGTTGCGACTCTACGTTTTGTAGCACGGCATTATTCGGTGAAATTCTATCCCCTCCTCGTCGCCATCATTGTTGAATGACAATAACTGACATGGTGCTAATTACTGTAGATATCCGCTATCTGACCAAATAACGCTAAACATTTCAATATCAAACTAGCCTTCGTGGTTCAAAGTAAACACTCTGTTTGGGTACTTTTCATATAATATTTGCCCCTCAATTAGCTGATTGAACTGTTGGAATCCATTTTGTCCAGGGTTGGAAAGCTGGAGAATTGTACAGAAATTATATTATGTAAACGGTTGAACGCATGAACTGTCAAAATGTTCTTATAAATGTAACTGAGATAAATTATTCGTTTTCATAAAAAAATGATTTCACCGGATTTTACATTCATTTCAGAACGCATATTATAAATAGAACTTTGTGCTTAGATTTCTAATTAAATTATGATTTCGGTTAATATCACTTTTAGCATATATATCGATAATTTAGCTGAATTAGAAATGCTCAATTGTGTGTGTCACAATTTGTTATTCACTTGTTGTTGACTCATTTCATAACGATCGCTCTGTAAACTCAATTCTGCTTACTGATTGTATTGATTAGTGAACCAAGCATAATTTTGACATGTAATCGAACGATTATATCATCTAGTTGAAGAAAAAAAATTAAATTAAATATGCATTTTCTTCTTGCGTCAGATGCGTTAAATTAGCCGCATTACCTTCATGGAATACGCTCTCCCGCAAAATGACCGTCGTTACTTCATCCATGTATAATGCAGCTAATACCAGATAATTAAATAATTCAAATGACTAATTTAGATGTGCATTTTATATCAAATAGATTTAACCCGAAGATCTAGCCCCATGTGAAAGTGTCGAGACATGTTCAATTGCCTAAATCTTTTCCAAACGAAATGTGTGGATGTGAACATTTTATACCTCACTTTGGAATTAACTGGAATTATTCTTCTCTTGCACTGAGGATCCATGAGCAGGAATCCCGTAACGCGATCAAACCAAAAACCACATCGATCACTTTTATGGATAATCGATACAAATTCGCTGATTATCTGATTTTCTCGTCACCAGTTTAAGCGCCTGTCGAGATTTCTTCGCGCGAGTATTGGAATGTATGGGGGAAATGATTCATAGTCTTAATTTTGACGTAGTAGGCCTCGAAACGTCAGGCGTCCTCTTTAATTTGAAAAATAGCCTTCCAAAGTTGAAACTAGCTCGTTCCGTGGTATTTGGACACGAGTGGTTCTTGATTACTTATGTGTTGTATGTATGTTTTATACTTTACGTAATTAACTCCATCCATGCAGATAATGGTTACCATGTTCGATACTTTACAAACACTGGTGCCGCTTACATCGACAAACATTGAACGGTCCTCTTGTATTGTATGGTAAGGGAATGGCTGATCAAACAGTACGCCCTCATTAAAACAACGTGCTTTGGAGAAGTAAATGTATTATTTAGAAATATGATGCATATGTGTTACCTGGTTGTATTTAATATTGTATTAATAGATATATAGATATAAATTCAGTTCATAAGATAGCAAATTGGAAGAAATAATACTTGTAGAATTATAATACGATGTCAGATGACTTTGCGTATGACATATACAACTAAAAATATAATATATTTCATAAGATAATTGTGGCGAATATCAATTAATATGATAACGATATTTCAAAAGAGATTGGAAGGTAATAATGTAGAACATTTTTGAATATGTAAAACAATATATTTTATGAGGCAAGGTTTCCTTCGCCTTTAAATTATATAAATAACTGCATATTTTCAGATTATGTAAGGCATACGCCTTCACTTTAAAGTCAGCAGCACGGGGAACAGATGTGATACACATCGCAATCTGTACCATTGTCCAAAATAACACTCTTCGGATTATGCCAAAAACAAATAAGAACATACATGTGTAATTATTAGATCCCCGTCAAATTGACTTAGGACACGGCAAACTAAGAATATTGGAGAAGTAACTGACGAAGTGATCTATATACGTCCCTCTGTATGTCAGTGTAGTTTACAAGTCAACGTGTGCATGTCACAAGGCTTATCATGTAACATGCGACCGGTGAACATTAATGAACAGTGTCATTTGAATGTAAATTTCCTCTCATTAGTATTCATACGACACGCCGGTTGTGAAAGGATGTCATTCCGTAGCGTTACAACCGCTGCAAGATGATGTATATATGTATCAAACCCGGATATAGGGTACAACATTTTCATGATGCTATTTAAGAACGCCATTAAAGTGTTCATTTGCACAAAGCGATGTTATTACTGAAATTAATCTCATTGTATATTAAATTATGAGAGGCAACATGATCTCTATCATAATTCTATGCAAAGTAATGTGTTGTTATAGTAGAGGGCTGAGTGGTAGAGTCGTGGAAACGTCACATCTAGGTTCGATATCCAGCATCAGTACAATGTGTGGAGACCATTTCTGGCGACCCCCGTCATGGCATTTGTGGAATATTGATACCTCCTCCCTCGCTGCTCAGTAGGAATGTTTAGGTTAATCACAAACGAAATATGTGATTGTTTCACGAAATAGAGACAATGTATGAGTGTTCTGAGCACACCAAGACGTAACCACACGTCAGGTAGCCTCTACAGAGAGGAAGTATTCAATGTTGAGTATAGCTGGACTTGATAATGACCACTTCATTGTGTCTCTCGACCGCCTCGACTGATTGACCTGTTTTAAACGTCTTGTCCAAAATTTGGTTGCTGACCTCAGTACTTGTAACGTCGTATCGTGTGACTGAGCCAACTGCTCGAAGTGACGCTTTTGAGTCACGTCGTGACACTGGTAGAGCAGAACTCGGACACAACCATTGTGAGTTAGTATCATTGACAGATTTAGTTAGTATCATTGACAGATTATGCATTTCCAAATGGAGTTGGTATGCCAAAGATTGATTTAAATTAATAACAAATTACAATAATTAGGAAGCATAATAATTGACGACCCCGTGTCCAGTCTTAGTCTAGATGTTGTATATAAAATATGAAACATGTATTTTATCATCAGTATCTGAGTCAGCAGACAGTGTTTGAATGCCTTCACTCAAACCTGCTGCCTGTTGACCTGAGCTGTAACTGTAACTGTAAGTAGAGGCAGCAACGTAAACATATATTCGGGAAATGTACAGTTGTGACGCCAGATGTTCGTAGAACGGGCCGGACAGTACCAGTTGTGCGTCAGGGTCTTTGGCCAATTTACAGATGACCCTTGATACAGATCCGAGCAATCGTTTTCATTCAATGACATTCTCAATATGACAAGTTGACATTTGTATCTAAGGATCAGCGCGTATGACAGAACTCCAGACCACCA